TACAGTTCCTCTACACGTATCCACACCGACGGGAAGGATTCCAAACAGTTTGGAACGTATCTGCTAGGATTAGTGAAGAAAAGGGTAACTCAAGAGACGAGATCCAATCCCGGGACAATAGAAATCGAAGAGAACAGTTTCTCTAGGGTTCTAGGATGTTTCTCTGAGTTTTAGGTTGGCCCTTTATTAAGTTTGGACAAAATCCCAAACTTAAATAAGATTAGAAAACCCTAAAATCGAATTTTGGAAAGTTTCCCAGATCCCGGTCCGCCGGACCAGGAGCTTGGTCCGGCGGACCTGGCTTAGTCCGACGCTTGCGGACCGGCTGACCTGAAGGCTTGGTCCGGCGGACCACATGTGGTCACCTCCGGACCAAGACCCTTCTCGGTCTTTCCGGTCCGCCTGGCTTCAGTCTCGGTCCGTCTGACCCGCTTTCTGGTCCGCGGCTGACAAACTTTTGGTCAGCCGAACCAGACTTGGACAGATGACCTCCTGGCTGACTTCCGGACCTCCTGGGCTGACCGACTTGGTCCGGGGCTGACCAAACTTGGTCAGCTCCGGACCAACACATTGAAAACTCCTTTTCATACTTGTTTCGGTCAACCCTCGTTTCCATTCTTCGGGTTCTTCACGTATAAGTCCATCCCTATTGGTGTGTGACCCTGTAGGCCCATTCTAAGTGGTAGTGACTTTAGGAACCTTTCCCGAACCACAAGTCATGGTTAGCCTCTAGCAAGACGTCATGACCACCCACTTAGAATTGAGTTAGAGGTGATCTAACAAAGGCATTAACACTTGAATTCTGATCCTTCGTCTCACGATATCATATGTTGAACAAGGGCATGGTTTGAGCCACCCTTCAAGTTCAACCACTTTCTCGTCTTGATAAATCGACTAGTAAAATAGATGCAACTTCATCTATAGCGTGACCACGCGTTTTCATAGTCCGACTTCCACGAGGGGGCCCAGCGATATCTCTCCTGTTAAGGAGGTGACAAGTCCCATATTGCATGTCTACTATCTCCATATGATTCGTGAACGTATCTGATCAACGCCGCTATAATCATCCGGTTAAAGACGACGTTTGACGCAGTCAAGACACGCCACTCCTCATATCAGATACTCTAGACATCTCAGGTATGAGGATCCATAAACGAACCGCTGTATGAGATTCAAGTCATGACTATGTCCATGTGACAATCTCATGCGGGTCATCCAGTCACTCGTTCACAACGAGTACCAATGATTGTGATCTACATCCAATGCGTTGATCACACCTCATGCTAGTCTTGATTCAACATTGTTCCCACAATGATGACTGACTAGGGAGTTTAGAATCATTCTCTAATGATTCAAGGATACCGAAATATAACAAACATGCCAATCATATAACGAGAATGTAATGCGTTCATAAATCAATGAATCAATACAAAGTTAAAATGTCATATCACGGATCATCCTAGAGCATTACAACCAACAGGAGTGGCCGACCATCTTTCCCGAATTGAATGCCATGAGAAGATTCCAATTAATGACTATCTTCGGGATGATCATGTGATGGCAGTGCAAGTCAGGGAGAGAGATCCGTGGTACACAGATTTTGTTAACTTCATTGTCAGCGGGTACACTCCTCATGAGCTAGATTATAACAGGAGGAAGAGGTTCTTCATAGACGTCAAGGAATATTTCTGGGAAGAACCCTTCCTTTTCAAAAGAGGCAAGGATGACCTCTTTAGGCGATGTGTTCCCGAGGAGGAAGACCCAGGCGCGATCCATCATTGCCATTCTTCAGACTATGGAGGTCATTTTGGAGCATCGAAAACTGCGGCTAAAATTCTTCGAGCCGGGTTTTATTGGCCTTCAATGTTTAAGGACGTTCACCAATACGTCACTTCTTGCGACGCTTGTCAACAGACCGGGAATATATCACGCCGCCACGAGATGCCTCAGCACTACATCTTGGAAGTTGAGCCCTTCGATGTTTGGGGAATCGACTTCATGGGACCATTCCTGTCCTCCTATGGAAATCAGTACATTCTAGTGGCGGTAGTCTATGTCGCCAAGTGGGTGGAAGCGATGGCGAGTCCCACTAACGACTCGAAGGTGGTGACAAAAATGTTCAAGAGGGTGATCTTTCCTAGGTTCGGGATGCCAAGGGTCGTGATCAGCGATGGAGGATCTCACTTCATCAACCGCACCATCAAAGCTCTTTTGAAGAAGTATGGTGTGAGGCATAAGGTAGCTACCCCGTATCATCCTCAAATGAGCGGGCAAGTTGAAATCTCAAATAGGGAGATCAAGGCGATACTTGAGAAAACGGTGTCAAGGTCAAGGAAAGATTGGGCGATGAAGCTTGACGATGCTCTATGGGCATATAGGATAGCGTTCAAGACACCCATCGGTATGTCTCCCTTCCAACTTGTTTATGGGAAAACTTGCCACCTTCAATTTGAGCTTGAGTACAAAGCTCTTTGGGCGATCAAGAAGCTGAATTTTGATTGGAAATCGGCCGCGGAGAAGCGGATGTTAGAGCTTCATGAGCTTGATGAGATTCGGACGGATGCGTATGAGAATGCCCGAGTCTACAAGGAGAGGACGAAGAAGTGGCATGATCGCCGTGTATTGCAGAGAGTATTTAGAGATGGTGACCAAGTGTTCCTCTTCAATTCTAGATTTAAGCTCTTTCCGGGAAAGTTAAAATCGCGTTGGTCGGGACCATTCACAATCAAGAAGGTTTATTCCCATGGAGCGGTAGAGTTATACGGTCATGGAGGAACCACATTTAAGGTGAATGCTCAAAGGTTAAAGGTCTATAACCCTGGAGAACGAGACATGGGGAGAGGCACATTGCGCCTCTCCGATCCAGTTGAGGAGTAGGAGCAGACACGGTCAAGCTTAAGACTTTAAACAAATGCTCTCAGGAGGCACCCCGAGCTTGTATATATCCTTTTTTGTATCCTTTTTTGCATTACATCTCTTTTCATCTAGGATCATTTAGATGTCCCCCTCTTTGATGGATGTTCTCTCTTGGTATTGCGATAAAATTTTGAGGATCGGCTTGAGTTGCTTGATGTGCAGGGAGAAGAAGGAAGCGAGAAAAAGACAGCCGGATTTTCTGCCTAGGGGTCGGGATCGATCGGTCCAGGCCTGGACCGATCAGTCCAGAGAGTCGGTCCATACCTACACCGGTCCGAAAAAAAAGCGGGTAAGACCTAGACCGATTGGTCCAGTACGTGGACCGATAACCGATCGGTCCAGAAAGTTGATCCATACCTACACTGGTCCGAAAAAAAAGCGGGTAAGACCTAGACAGATCGGTCTAGTACGTGGACCGATCGGTCCAAGCGTACCAGCTACACCCCAAGACCGATTATAAGAGGTAAGGAGAGAGAGCTCGGTCCACAATTTCGGTCTTCGCCTCTCACCGCTACGTCACCACAGTACGCCACTCCGGAACCCTCCTCCACCGTCGTGCCCTCTCTCTCTCTGTCAATCTGCTCTCTTTCCATCTCTCTCTCTCTAGAATCTCCATTGAAGCGCAGAAGGTAAATCCTGAATCTCTCGATTTCTAAGTTGTTTCATGGATTTGATGCCTTATTTTTGCAAAAACAACTTAGATTAGGCTATATCTAGAAGATTCAGGGAAGAAACAAGGAGATTTTAGGCAAAAATGGCGGATTTAGGGTTGAAACGTCGAAGGAACCGCCGAAGCTCGCGAAGGGGAAGAAGACGATGCCTGGATCGATCGATCCTAGCGTGGACCGATCGGTCTAGGGTTTCCGAAAAAAATGCTGAAAATAAAAACAGGAGCTGGACCGATCGGTCCAGTACTTGGACCGATCGGTCTAGACACCTATACATGAGGAAATTCACGTTTCGTGACTCAATCGGTTTAATCTCACCCACGCTCGATCCGCGAACCCGTGAGACATTGTTGTTCATCTTCTTTCATTCTTAAATACTGATTAACTGTGCTAACTGATCACACAGGATTTTCACCGGTTTTTCTAACGTCCTACATCACACTTTGCACATACCTTAGGCATAATAGGATGTTAGATGGTCTTGGGTAGGATTCTTTTCCCCATTTTTCATGCAGGATGATCAAACGAGGACATTCACGCACAAGGCACGAAAAAAGAGCAGAATCGAGAAGACCCGGAAGGCTCAGAAAAAATGGGCGGCCCGCTCATTCTGCCGAGCGGTCGCCCATTGGCGGAATTCATCCCGAGAATTTGCTCAGAAAAAATGGGCGGCCCGCCCATTTAAACGAGCGGTCGCTCGACGCTAAGATTACGGGAACAGGCGGTCGCTCAAGAAATCAGGCGGTCGACCGTGCGCTGCGAAGAACAAGCGGTCGCTCAAACAAACGAGCGGTCGTCCGGAATCAGAAAAACGGGCGACCCTGAAGACGAAAACGGGCGACCCTGAAGAAAAAATGAGCGACCGCCCGTTATTAAATCCGGCCCAAAAAGGAAAAGCCCGATTTTTTAGGAGAAACCTAGCTGCTGCACTTGCATAAAAGAGGGAGTTTGAGGAGAGAGAAAGGGGACTCGACCAACTTGAAGAAAAACACCTTGGAGAAGTGAAAAAGGAGATTTGGAGACCTAGGAAACTTGGAGAAGAAGAAGACCACCATTGAAGACCATCTTGAGCTTCTCTTTTTCCTTTCTATGTTTTCTCATTTTGCTTTCTGTTTTGAAACCCTAGATATGGAGTAGTGACTTTGTTGTGGGTGAGGGATCCCCACTTTTGTATGGATACCTATGCTTAACCTATGATGTTTATGAGTTTTCTTCCATGGGTTTGATGTTTTGTGCTTAATGCTATCAACTTTGGCGAAATCTTAGTTGGTGTGATGTTAGAACACATTGTTCATAGGGATATGGGGATGATGTTTGGAACCAAACATCAAATGAGTGAGTTATTCACATTGGAAGATGGCTTAACTTGCTTAGGGTTCATGATAGGGTACATTAATGCATCTAGAGATCATTTAGATCATTGGGAAATGGGTAAATCGATTCTCTAGGTAGTGAGTTTAAGCTCGGGAGAGACAAACTCTAGATGAAGTACTTGAAACTCTAGATGGGTAAATCAACCGTCCATGCAAGTCTTGAGGGATCCCGAACCCACAACGCCTAGAATCATTGTTTGCAACCCCGTTAATTTTATTTGCGAAATTTCATTCCGATACCCATCACAAATCACATTTTTATTTGACCATCAATCTAGCTTAGGGATAGACTAATACAACTTAGTCCTCGTGTTCGACCCCGTTACTACAACTACCGTATACTTGCGGATAGTGGTACGAATCGGGTAATATATATAACTCGGTGCGTGCGCATCAAGTTTTTGGCGCCGTTGCCGGGGACTAGGCGTTTTCGTGTTAGTCTAGATTTTTGCTAGATTACCATTGCTTGGATTCTTGTTTGGATTACTTTGTGACATAACCGTTTCACAGCACTTCCGGTTCGTTTTGTCTCTTTGGTGCGCAGCTCCTCCGGTGCATGATAAGAAGTACCACCGGTAGAGATTAACTCGTCTTCGACCCCGAAATAGAAAGAACACTGAGGATCCGAATGCAAAGACAGTGGGGAATGGCTGAAGAAATGCTGAGAGAGAACAACGCACGAAGAGAACAACCCGATATGGCCGAAGAGTTGTTGAGAGGGGTCAATGCCCAAAGGGGTCCAGCCCAAGCACCCCCTAGAACGCTTCGAACATACACACAACCGAAGCACACTCAGTTACTGTCATGCATCAGCCGGAGACCTCTAGAAGATTTTGAACTCCTACC